TCGCGTTATATGTCGAGACCGTATCCACTACTAGGAACTCAGTCATGACACAAATCGGTCCCGCTTTATAGGCAGTGTGATCTTTTCCCTAGGAAGAACTGTTTTACCACTAAAGCCAATAAGTGACGTATTTGAGGGCTTAAGATCCTCCTTCTTAATACCCAGCTTCTCAAATAGATCCTCATACATGATTTTTGATGAACTCCCCGGATCAATCAGAACCCTTCTCATATCAAAATTCACAATTTGAAACGTAATGACTAGGGTGTCGTTGTGCGATTGGTGAACTCCGACCAAGTCCTGCTCAGTGAAATAGATTGCGTCGACTGATTCTTCCATCTTGATTCTTTTGTTGGACACCTCCGGAGTCATCCACAACTCATAGACTTCCCTCTCCTTTGTAGCTTTCTGAATATAAGCTCAATTAGAGTTGTTTGTGGACATCTATGGATTGGTGGCAGCATGGATCACATCAATCACCCCTGCTGGAGTGTTGTGGTCCCCTTTTGGCTTGATCCTCCCTCCATCAACTTTTTGCTCACCTTCAATGAACTCGGCGAAATGTCCAGCATGGACAAGTTCCTCTAAATGTTGCTTCAGAGATCGATAGTTCTCAGTCATATGGCCTATATCCCTATGATATGAGCACCTATAGGTTGGCTTCCTTTTAAAAGGATCTCCTATTACCTTATTTGGCCACTTGAAAAATGACTTTTCTTTGATCTGGCTTAGTATCTTGTATATGGGTTCCTTAAATAGCGTATTTGCCCCAAGAAATGGGGACTTTTTAAGGATATCCATCCTTCTCATTCTTCCTTCCTCCCTCTCTGTTGGCTCGATTTACTTGTCCCTGCCAAATTGCCTCCTGCTCGGATGCTCCCTAACCACCTCCCTAGATAAGTCGTCATCAACTTTGGCATACTTTTCAATCCTTGCCATCCACACTTTCAAGTCCGTAGCTGACCTTCTTGTGAGTGACTGGTATAAAGGGTTCTCCTTCGGCAATCTGATCTTAAAGGATACAATTGCAATCTCTGGATTGCACCCGTCGACCTCATTCATAGTTTCCCAATATTGATGAGCGTACTCTCACAGGCTTTCATTATTCTTCTTCTTTAGCGTCAGTAGTGGCCCAACATCCTTCGGCTGCTTGCTGTTCCTAATGAACCGAGCTATGAACTGCTCGGCTAACTAGACCACCTGTCAATCGTTCCCTTCAACAAGTTGTCAAACCACTTCATGGCTGACTCCCCAAGACTGCTAGGGAAGATAGTGTAGAACAGGGGCTCATTTCTTTGATGAATGGTCATCAACTATCTGTAATGTCTGATGTGTGAGGCTGGGTCGGTCTTCCCATCATATAGCTCAAAATTCAGGACGGTGAATTTGCTCGGGATTTGTCCCTTTTCAATCCAAGCTATGAATGGAGATGACTCAAAACCATCTCCATATTCTTCTGTTGCTCTTCTGGCTAGGTCCCTAGCCAACCTCTATCCTGGTCTCTTCAAGCGATTGTTGAGCTTCTCGGTGATTTACTACTTCCATGCAACCTCCTCTTGGATCCGGGGTTTCTTCTACTGATGATGATTTTCATTGAAACTTTTGATTTTGTCAAGCTTCCTCTCAGGATTTTCTCGACGGCTTTCTCTCGCACATTTCTCTTTCCTAGTCATCTCTTTTAACTTGGCTTTTAGCTCTTCATTTTCTTTGATCAGATCTTTTTCTCTGGCATAAGATTTCTTGAAAAGCTTGTTATGAGCGTCAAGTCTATCCTGCAGGGATTGAACCAACTTAGCTAGGGAGTGGTTTTCCCCCTCGGCACGGAGGGATTCACCACGATCTTCAATTTGATGGTTTTGATTCTTTGAGGGTTTAAAATTGGCAGAGGACACCTTGTTACCTTCATGGGGGTCTAGATGGGTTTCTGCTTGTCTGCAATCGCGCGTTGCTATCATAAGGAAAGGATACAGGATCAGAGTTTCCCAAGGGAAAACTGCTTACAGATGATCCAACTGTAGTTCTAAGTTTTGACATTGTAGTTTTTTTGTTGCGAAAGATGAAAATTTTTCCCACAGACAGCGCCAAAAAATGTAAGAGGCAAAAAATTAATGATACCTCTTTCCAGAATATTGAATGATTATTCTCGATATTAGATGAATTCTGAACTTGGATCCCCTACTCTCCTTCCTGTAATATAAACAAACTGCCCAAGATCGAAATGCTTTGATCGAAGACACTCTGATGCTTAAGTCAGCAATGGTACTGAAACTAATGAAACAAGACAAGGAGAATTCTGCGTACCTTTCACCTTGGAGTTTTCTATTTTTTATAGATGGTCATCCCCTTAGGATTTCCGTGATTTTTGATTCAAGGTGACACACCTTCCTTCAATTTAGTGATTCAGTTTAAAAAATTGCTGATATTTCTCTAACAATTCCTCATGATATCTACAATTTCGTTGATTCGTTTATCCAATTGCCTAACTTAAAGACGATTCTTTATCTTTCTATCTATCATTTTGAACAGTTCGGACATATCAAACCCTGAGCACAATTGATATTTGTCGGACAGTTTTAGGGACTTGGTTTGCGACAAACCATTCTCTTCAATCACCTTCCCGAACACTTTAATAAACTCGGCTTGGTACAAGCCGAGCTCTTTCCTTACTTAGTTGAACAGATTGATAAGCTCAGTCATAAAGAGAGTCAAACTTCTTCTTTGTTTACCGAATCTCTCATTAGCTCGGCTTGGTTAAAAGTCTTAATAGAGGATTCTTCATCACGTGTCTTGCCTTGTCAACACCACGTGAACACATTTAATGCCATATCACGTGTAATTATGAGGGCTAACCCCTTCACTTTTATTTTTCATTTATCTTACCACACACCATAAAATTGTATTTGTATCCTCTTAAATTTAGATTTTATCAATTTCAATCATTGACCAAAATTAATAACATTCAAAATTAAAACACTAGATTGATAATCAAAATGAACAACTTTTGAAATCAAATTCTCAAAGATAATAAGCATCTTAAACCCATTATTAATTGTACTAATAATCTCTTAACCAGTTTGGTTGAGTATTCTAAAAAATAAGTTAAAAAAATTCAACATAGTTCCTTCAAAAAAATCAAGTTTCTTCTCAAAATCTAGCTCTCTTCAATGTCCTACTTATATAGGATTGAAACCATTCACATGCATTCCAAAAAGCAATTAACAAATCAAAGCGAATTCGTCAAACTATATTACCAGAAAACAATGTACTTTTGGGTCTCATTGTAATAGGTTGAAACAAAAATAATCATAGGATGAATATTAATTTCTGATGTCTAATTGCTAATAATAACTAATTGTCTGTAAGAGCATGGTATGTTGGGTTGGAGGACAAAAAAGATAAAATTTGAACCGGAATTGTTCACGTAGTAAGAGTACCTTGTCAAGTGGAAAAAAGACTTGGCCCCCAAATCTATTCAAATCTATTGTCTTAGAGTATCTACAATAGGTTCTTTATTTTTATTCAACTATCTATTTTAGAGAGTTAATTACAAAAAATCAAGCTACAATAGACTCTTTATTTAGACTAGTTAAAATAGAGTCTAATTTGGTTCACTACATTTAGAGAGTCAAACTCATTCTCTATTCTATTATTGATGAATGACAAGGTGGCATGTATATATTATTCATTAAATGTTATTCACAACAAGAATTTTTTTTTAATAATAAAAAGCCATTGAAATTGTCAAAAATATTTTATTCTCTATTTAAACTTTTATAAAAGATTCTTTCTACTTAAAAAAAATTCTCTCTAAAATAGAGAATACTTGGTAATGCTTTGGTAAGTAATGAATTAGAATCAATGTTTTAAAACCCAACCTAGCCTCGCGGATTGATCTGGTGAATTGGTGCCTAAACTGGGCCGATTCAACAATCAGACCGTTTGTGCATCAAACCTAGAATAAGCCCACTAAACCAGATAAAAAACTGCCAAACCGTTCAACTCGGGCGAGTTAAACCAAACCGGACAGTTCATTTAATTTAGTATAAATAGTTGAGTTTTTGCCCTAAATCGCTTTAGCCTTTCCCTATTTGTCTCTCTCTGACTCCATGCCATATCTAATTTTTGGTTTATATTTTGTGTAGAATATTGAAATATACATTGAATCTTTGATTAATAATACTATATTTTGCACATTGAATGAAGTTTTGATTTTTTATACTTTGATTGACTTTGAACTTTGAATAGTGCAAATTACATGGATTATAATTAGATTGATGCATAGTAGGAGAATTGGAGCCTTAAACTGAAATAGATGTATTTTTCTCTACTAAAATTTTAAATTGTATTGAAAATTGAATATATTGGATACATGTTTGATGCTATTTTCATAATTTTTGTGATTTTTTAGTTTATTTATTAGTATTTATAATTATTTGTTATTTTTTTATTATATTTACAGATTCAACCAGTGACCCAATAATTAAACCATTTACCTGGTCCGTTGCCGAATTTTAAAACTATGGTTAGAATCCAAACTCTTTTTTCCTTTCACATACCCGACTGGATGGTGAGAAACATGCTTTGTGGAGGCGCGTGTAGTTTTCATCGCCGGTGTGTAAAGAGGTGGGGGCTGCTTCTATATAATTGGTGTCCGTATTATGAGAGGGGCTTTCCTACTTTTCTGTCTTTTGCTTTCTCTTCCCTCCCATTCCTCCCCCCCCTTCTCTGTCGCTCTATTATTTTCCCTCCCTGGACCTCTGACCTTGTTTCCGATCATCAACACCTTCCTCCCTCTTCCTCCTTATCAAAATTCACGTCTAAATTCACTCCAGATTCCTCCAAATCTAGTGGATCTTCTCTCATCTTCTTCCAAATACACAGATTGTCATAGTTGTCTTTAGACCACTATTCACAAAATCTTGGTTCAGTAACTTCGGGGTCATACAGATCAAGAGGGAGGAAGGGAGAAAGAAAAGAAGATAGAACATCGAGGTGAGAAGATGACTCCAGCAGCTAACTTGTCAGGACAGTTTGGAGATACCACTTACACCAAAGTATTTGTTGGTGGTTTGGCTTGGGAGACTCACAAGGAAACCATGAAGAAGTACTTTGAACAGTTTGGTGAGATCTTGGAAGCTGTGGTCATCACTGATAAGACCACTGGCAGATCCAAAGGCTATGGATTTGTATGCTTCTCTTTCACTTAACTTTTTCTTACTTACCGGCAAAAAAAGAATTCTCTTTTTTTTTTATGTTATTTCACATACTTCAATATCTCTCTCTCTCCCTCCCCTTTCTTTTCATTGATATCTTGGTATTGATTCTGTTATTCCATCTTGATTATCATCTATGGTATCTTCAAAGGAATGAAAGATCTCGGGGCGGTTTTATCCCGTATATCTTAAGAATATAGTGAGCATAACAAATTAACAATTGATGTTACTTCCTTTTTTTTTTTTTTTTTATATATATATATATATATATATATATATAGAAATGTATGTATACATGTTTATTATTTGTCTGGGAAACTTATAAATTGTCTTATTTCCGAATTAGGTAACTTTTCGGGAACCTGAAGCGGCCATGAGAGCATGCGATGACGCAGCTCCTGTGATTGATGGAAGGAGGGCAAATTGCAATCTTGCTTCTTTGGGTGTTCAAAGATCTAAGCCTTCTACCCCCAAACATGGTATACTAGTTTTTTTATTTTGCCCTCTTCCAATAGATTTATCTTATATCCTATTGGACTTATCTCAGTTATGGTCTCTAATACTAATGCTAGATCTTCCACAGTTCTACTTCAATATTTGATTTTGCTTTGACTGCATCAAAACGCATAGATGTTGCAGGCATTGCTCATATTTGAACAGAATATTCAAAATAACTAGATATCGTTGAGGACAATTTGATCCATTTTGGCAAACCCATATGCATGTTAGTGAAGCATGAATATTCCTCCAGTTATGGAAAAGTTCTATGTTCTCTTGGTGGGTTAATGAATGAGTATGAATGGGTCCACTGGAGAATTGCTTTACATCCACAGTTACACATGGAAGAACATGTTTTAGAAAAGGATGACAGCTCATTCTACAGTCTAAATTTCTAAAACCACTTTTGCTTTTGCAATGTTCATATGTTTCGAGCGAATGGTATCTACTGTTGTTTTGTCCAAGTAAGCTTTCGAGCAAAAGGATAAAATTCCACTTAAATTGATGTACATCGAGATGACTTCTTCTTGTCAGCCTTAAAAGGTCTCACCAGAACTCCACATTTTGCAATTAAGTAGCCTTGAAGGGGAGTAGTACTAAAATGTGTGATCTCATGAAAAATCTTGATGTTGCAATCCATTTCAAAAAAATCGCCAGCCTTGAAAAAAGACGTTTTTGATGAGTTTATAAAAATTGGATTTATGTTTTTGATTATCATCATACCTCTACTAATTGTATGTGTATAATTGTGTGTTGTAAAATATAATGAAATGAGCAGGAGGAGGCCGGAACTTTAGGGTAATGAGCTCTTTTCAGGCTGGTGGAGTGGGAGCAGCTTTTCCTTCAGCAGCAACCTTCCCTCATTATGCCATCCAACAAGGGATACCTTATAATGTTTATGGGTATGTATGTTTATTATGTCTCTGTCCTCCTTTGGTGAACCTGCACAAGCATTGCCAACTCATGCACACCTAACCTCATTAACCTAGAGCTTTATTTACGCGTTCTAATCCACCACATTTATCTCTCTCAAAATTCACTTCACAGTCTCTCTCGTTCGCTCTCTCCACACCACATACACGAGTAAATATTGAGTTATATCAAGTCAACATTGTCACTGGCGTATTCGTCCAATAAAAATTCACAAAATAGAAAAAGTAGACCTATTTATTCAAATAACAATCATTTCAAATAATAATAATAGAGTAATGTTATTTGTACTTAAAAATTTAACTTAATTTGTTGACATAGTAATGTGACTTCATAAGAATTATTGGATTAATACCAAGTCTTAATGTTTGATGGAGCTTACAATCAATCAAAAACTCACAGTGAATTAAATCAGTAAGTTATGTTAATAAATTTGGTCCCAATAACATTGCTCATAATAATAACCATCCCATGTAAAAAAAAATGGAATCACCTTATACATTTGATTAGTTGACATTAAACGATTATACCACATAAAAATATTGATGCGATGTAACAATTACGCTTAATTCACATACACACATATACACTCGAAGTGTTGTCCAACGAAAAGAAATTAGACTTTATAACAAATGAGTAATGCTATTTAGATCTAAAAATATGATTTAATGATATGATTTTATTGGAATCGTTATATTCATACTAAATTTCAATGTTTGATGCGGCCTTCATTCAGTCTAAAGGCTACAAGAGTGTGTGTGTGTGTGAGAGAGAGAGAGAGAAGTTGAAACGTTTCACCAACGAGCCGTCGGCCCAATAGATAAGAACTTGAATTTTCTTGCTCAATGCTTGGGTTCGAAATTTCATAGTTATGACAACTCGTTGAGGCTAAAAGCGATCCGAAAACAAGGTGGGATTTTAGCTTTGGCTCCAATGTAGGCATTAGCGTCCTCTGCAATAGTTGTGTAGTGTTGAGAGACAATCCTCATTGACAAATATATGAAGTTATCTATCTGTATATCCATTTAGAAGAAGTTGAACATTTCAATCTGCATATCCATTTACTATATAAAAAAAAGAAGAAGTTGAACATTTCAATCTGTTTCAACATATGCTAAATGCTTGCAACTTGAAAAACTTGTGCATGGTACACGTATGCTGCATGGATATTGTAGATGTGACGATGCTTCATATATAAACTCTTGTATTACTCATTTGCTTCTGTAATAAGCTTCAACTTCTAATATTTTCGTCCTCTTATGTCTGTTCAACAAAATTTTCAGGTACTCTTCATACTCGCCAGATTATACTTATACCACGGTTTGTGCAAAAAACCTATACCTCTTTGTCTTTTCAGTACTACATCTTTCCGATTCCTAAACAAAGCAATGAAACACTGACTTAATTAAAATTCTTTTCTGAAAATATCAAAATAACCCTTTGAAATTATGACCGAAGAGATAATTTTATTTAATTTTTTCACAAAAAACTCTTCAACAAAATGTCTTTAAAACAATTTTTTATACCGAGTTACAAATAAAATTTCAGTTCTGAAAAAAATTACAAATAACATAACAAAAAATCAATATTGCAGAACGAAAAAAAAAAGGAAATGTAGCTTTCGAATTTCCAGAATACGTAATCTTTGACAAATATATGAGATATCCTAGAGGCAAATGTAAACAAAAAATAATAATAATAACAAAATATAAAAAATGTGCTTGTGGCGACATCTCCAATTCTAGGCTTTCTAGCTAGTTAGTTAACCTGTTCCTCAAACTTGAAAGTTGCTGTTCAAGCGATGTTTTTATTGGGTAATGTTAGACTGTTGATTAAAAAATGCCAAAAAAGGACGATATGAATATGATATGGTGGAAGGGTTTTGGTTCCACTTTTATTTATTCAAAATTCAAAATTCTCTTAAAATGGCAAAACTAAAGCATTTAGTTTTTTTTTTTTTTAAATCAATCTAACATTAAGGTAAGAAAAACAGTTAATGTTAGATTGATTTAATCTAAAGTATCTGATGTACCGATATGTACTTGAAATTAACACAAGTTTCAAAACTTAATTTTAATGCAATTTAAAACGAGTTTTAATGCAAGTTCGAAAATCAATCACTACCACATTACTTGCATAAGTCACCATCACCAAGTTACTAGCATATCATTTTATCTTAATTTTTTTAAGTCTACCGTTGCCCATTACATATAATAGCATGACCCAACACCCTACGATATTTCAGTTTAAGTGAAATCATCCAATGTAAACGGGCTAAACAGCAACCTTGGAAAAATATTTTAGTGCTTAAAATATATCACCTGAGAGTATCATCTAATTAATGTATATTACCAATAAATTTTTGTCCATTGTCAATGAATGTCTATTACTTATCAATTATTATAATTTTTTTAAAAAATCAAATTGTATGTGCCTCAAATTAATGTTGAGGCAGCTTTTCGTTAGATATCTATTGCACCACCTACTTATACATGTAGGACGTGTTTGTTTCAAATATTATATAAACTTGGTATTAAAAATGTATTCCTTATATTTTCAATACCCATGAATATTAATATCGGTAATAAAAATTATTTCAATGTCATCTCATATTTGTTTATTCAATATGTACTATATTTGTTAATTCAATAGGTATTATGATAGATCCCACAAACAACCATTTATTATATCACATCTTATATAACAAATATATCATTTTACCCTTAACATTATCCATTCCTTAGCATAATCCATTCCATTCAAAATAATTTTTTTAAAAAAAAATTTTAAAAAAAAATAGGCAACACTATATGTTTAAACATAATATAAGAAAAAAATTCAAAATAATTTTTTGAAAAAACATTGGTAACACCATACACTTAAACATAATACAAAAAAAGAATTCAAAATAATATTTTTTTAAAAATTACAAAAAAAACCAGTAACACTGTACGAAATACAAGAAGAAATTCAAAATAATTTAAAAAAAAACAGTTAACACTGTATGTTTAAACATAAAGTGAGAAAAAAATAAAAAAAAAATTATTAAAAAAAATTAAAGAAAAAACCGTTAACACCATACACTTAAACATAATAAAAGAAAAATATTTAAATTAAACTTTTTAAAAAAAAATAAAAAAAATTGTTAACACCGTACACTTAAACATAATAAAAGGAAAAATTTTAAAATAGTTTTTTTTAAAAAAAATCGTTAATACCGTACGTTTAAACATAATACAAGAAAAAAATTTAAAATAATTTTTAAAAAAAACTGGTGACATCGTACGTTTAAACATAATATAAGGAGTACATTTTTTCTATGTGAACTCTTCACATATGAGGGTATTTGTGTCATTTTATTTTCTTATACCGTACTTTTATTTGTACTGAGAGGACATTTAAGTCACTGTTTATATTAGGTCAATATTTTGATCCGAAAAATAGCACTGATGGTAAAATGTTGAACAAATAAGCTTTAAGGTGTGCACTACGTAATATTATACCATTCTTATCCTCCAACCAATTATGCCCGTAGTATATAACAGTGTTATTAGAGTTGGACTGGCCGAACTGTTTGAATTCTAATTGATATAAAAAAAATAAAACAATTTCCCTCTTTTGGGCAATTTTTTGCCGCCCTAAATCGCATTTTTGCATTTGCATCTCCATTTTCCAGTTCTCCACACTGTCCCGTCTTCGTCTTCCTTCTCCAGGCGACGAACATGACTCGGTCTTCAATTTAGGTGAGGCGACGAACAGTCTTCGTCTTCAACCACGAACAGCTGAGTCCTCTGATTTCCTTTGAGTCATCGTCTGCGTGTTAAACTCTGATCTCCTTTGAGTCCTCTCTCTCTCTCTATCTCTCACTCTGCCCTTGAAACTCACAGATAGTAGGCAGCATCTCCTTCCCAATGCATTTTTGACTTAATTGTATGTGCAACTTTTGACTTCAGTACACAACCTTTAGTTACAACTGCCTTTAGTTACAACTTTTAGTTACACAAGTTTATCCTCCCGCTGTTTTAATTTCATTTTGTTAAGGCTTTTGACAAATTAATTTTCAGTTCTCTATCAATTTTTTTTAACTATATTTATTTTTTTTGCAAAATCCTAAATTTTGGATTAATTATTATGTATATAATTTTTTATATTTTTTTATTATATGACTGGTCTGATCAATTGACTTGACAGTTAAACTAATAAATCATTAATTCGGTCATTTTGTACGGACGATGTCTGATCCGATTTTGATAGCTGTGGTAGTAATTATTCACATCAACTAGTGGCGAGGTCTAAAGGACAAGAAACTCAGGTTTCGAGTCAAAGCGCAAATGGTAAGACCACAAGATATCGCGGCATTTCTGTGCAGGATTAATTATGAACCTGTTTACTGGGTTCTAAACTAGTTTGCCATGTTATATATATATATATATATATATATATATATATATACATATGGTAAAATTATGTCTACTAAAAGTGTGTACTAAATTATTTGTAGCCTTTGAATTAATGATAAGATGTATTGATTTGACGATTATAGATAATTTGGTACATACTTTGTTGTATAATTTTAGTGTTCATAACATTGCTAAAAAAAAAAAAAAAACAGAACGAACTACGTTAGTTTAGATATGTCAAAGTCGAAAAAAGCTGTGTGGACTGCACATGACTTCCTGCAGTCAGATAAAATCTTTGGGTTAGAACCTGGTACCATACATTTTTGTTTTATTTTTTTTTGTCAAATTTGATTTTTTTATGGGTTAACTTTATTTTTATAATTTTTATGATCGATAACTTTATTAGTAAATTATGTTAATAAATTAGGTTAAAATAACATTGTTGTTAAATAGGGTGATATATATATATATATATATATATATATATATATATAATAAAGTAACTTACAATTCAAATCTAAAAAGATAAACAAATTGATTTTTGTTTTTCGTGGTTCAGATCGTTTTAAATTTTATTTTAAAGTTAATCTAACGGTTAATATTAACACCTTAAATTTAATAGGAAAAAAAGGCCCTTAAGGATGTGTTTGGAGTGACTTTTTAAAAATACTTATAGAAATTATTTCTTATAAGTACTTAAAAAAAACAATAGTGTTTGAAACTGCTCTATCATTATCTCTACCACCGCCTCTGCCACCGCCGTCGTCGCCACCATTGCCACCACCACCACCACCACCATCGCCACCGCTACCATCGCCATTGTTATTACTACCGCTGCCACCACCACCATACCCCCACCGATACCGCCACCGCCATCGTCACCCCCCACCACTCCACTGCCACTACCATCGCCACCATCACTACCACCGTCGTTGCCGCCATCACTACCACCATCGTCACCGCTGACGCCACCACCACCACCTCAGTTATTGCTACCCACTACAGCCATTACCATCTCCTACCACCACCACTGTCACCCACCACCTCTCAACCTTACTACAACTGATGCTTAAATTATTTTATTTCTCCTCTATGTTTGTGAGTTAATTTTATATATGAATACAAATATGTTTATTATTTACTATTTTTTATTACTTTGTGCCTTCAAGCACAGACAATAACTAGTGTATATAATAAAATAACTTATAATTCAAATTTCAAAATATAAACAAAATGACTTTTATTTTTTACAATTTATAGATTGCTTTAAATTTTACTTTAAAGTTAATATAATGACTAATATTAACACATTAAATTTAATAGAAAAATATGCCCTTAAGGGTGTGTTTGGAATGACTTTTTAAAAGTATTTTGAGGAATTATTTTTCATAATTACTTTAAAAAAAATAGTATTTGAAACCGCATTACTACTACTTCCACCACCACCACCACCACGACCGTTATCGTCGCCGTCACCGCCACCGCAGCCATCGCAGCCACCACCACCACCAACGTCACAACCGACACCATCACCGCCGCAACGGTAATTGCAACCCGTCACAACCATCACCGTTTCCTACCATCACCACTGTCGTCCACCACCTCTCACTCCCACTACAACCTGATGCTTAAATTTATTTATTTGTTCTCTATGTTTGTGATTTGATTTTGAATACGAATACAAATATGTTTATAGTTTATCATTTTTTATTATTTTGTACCTTTAGGCACATTCAATAACTCGTATATATATATTGTAATAGATTCAATCACCACATTCTTTTGGATGTGGCTTTGTTCAAGTCTAATCTACTGGACAGAAAACTTATTCGTGCAAGACAAAAAAATATATTAACAATTCATTCCCCACATTTTTTTTTTCGGAGGGGAGGGGGAAACTTGTTGGGTTTACATCAAGATTGATATTATAATACACATTAAAACCCTAGTATACAATAACATGAAACATACAAATTAAACTTAAAATTAACACTAACATATATCTCACTTAAAAAATTCGTAGTAAAAAATCCTAGGTTGTTTATTTTGTGTGTGAGATAGTACAGGAAGAGAAACCCTTTGGGATGAGAAACAATGGGTTGAAATAGCTTGTGGTTAAAAGATATAATGGGCAGAAATAGAATGCAATTATTAGTAGACAAGGTGAACTTAGTTATTATTGGGGTGAATATAGATGGAGTGAATTTAGACGAGTGAGTGAGAATAGCATCGTCCCAAAATAATGCATGTAAGAAACTTGTTGTATAGGCAACAACCGCTAAAGATATTACCAGAATAAGTCGTTTGAAATATGCTTGCCGGAGATAATTTATATAATAATGGAGTTAAGAGTTTGAATTTTAGTTTTATATATTTCTTCTGTCTATTTTTATCACATCACACATTTTTATTATAAGTTAAATCATTTAATTTTTGATTAATTAGTTGTTCAATATAAATTTTATTTCAGACATTGTTCATTTACAATATTATGCACATGTTAATATTTTTTTGAGGTGATATATTTTAAAAATTATTTTTATTTTTTAAAAAAATAATGGATAGAAATTAATATCAAATTATGCAATCAAAGAAAAGAAAAAAATAAGGGGTCGATTTCTGCAAGTTCGAATTTGATGTTGCACCTTGTCTGGCAGCTAGTATTATATATATGACTTCTTTTAAATGTTAAACATTTGTTCAGAACTATTATAGTGTGTATGGAGGAACATCTGCTCAATATCCCGTCTATGGAGCTGGAGGTGGAGCTGGCGGTATGATGACGGGTGCAGCGGCGGCCTACTACCCCTATCTGAATTTTGGGGAAAGCAGCGGCGGCGCAACCAGTTACACCGCCGGACAGGGCTATGGCGTCCACTACCCACACCACCTCTACCAGTATTCTGCTATTAATGCAACTGGGGGTTACCCACACCACTATGGTACCCCTCTTACTCACACACCTCCGTTGCAATCAGGTTGGTTTGTAGACTATACACATCTTCTTACTTCCACTTTACAGTTTTCTTAGGATCTTTTTCCCTTTACCCCATCTTTCTTTTTCTCAAATAGTAAAGGTTATCAAAACCAATTGCTGCATGGATTTACCTTTAGTGTTGGGTTAATGGGTGAAACACTGAGATGTGCAATATTTCTGTTGAAGAGTACTGCTATTGAGTATCTAAAAATCTTACGTTGATTTAATGAAGTAGTTTTTTTTATAACTGTTAGATTAACTTTTGGAAAAAAATGGAATCCGGATGACTGTTGGAAAAAATGAAATCTGAAAGATAAAGTGTATGACAGGGTAAGGCGCGAACTAGGTCATTCTCTTAAAAAATTCACACTTTTTTATGAAAGAAACATAACGTAGAAAGTAATGTTTAGGATACAATAACCTAATCTATTGACTGTTGCTTTCCTCAGATCTGTACAATTGAATGAATTAGAAACTTTACACGACACTTTTCAATATTGCCCCAGAAGAATATAATAGATATTCAGATTGTGTATTTCTATATTGAACTATGTATATATATATATACAAAAAATATAGGTGTTTAATATTCCGTAATTACTCATATTTAATCAGATAATAACTATGAAAATTAAATAAAAAAATAGTTGTTGGAAAACTAGTAGTTAGAACCTTTAGTATTTAGAAACTAAATTTTTAATATAGGAGTTATGACGAAAAAAATTAAATAAAATATTAAAAGTGGATTTAATACTAGTTAATATTTTATTCTATTTAGGTAAGCCATGGGGACCCGTTATCTCAGTGTGGACTAGACTGGTTAGTGTGTTTCGTAAACGTACGTCAGAAATCCGTATCTCCTTCGCTTGTACCACTCTTGTGCAAGTGAGAATCCCAAGATCTCACTTTAACTCAAAAGTTAGATAACACTACCATATATATATATATATATATATTCAAGTACTTTTAGAAATGTAGTCAATGTGAGATTGAGTTCCCATATAAAAAACACTCTTTTGTTTAAAATATTCTAACAATCCCCCCTTATTTTAATAAAAGATATATTAGATAAATAACCAGCAATAGATAGAATATCACGAATTGTAAAAGTGGCAATGCTGTTAAACCTTTATTTAGTGTTTCAATGTTCCCATACTAAAGTCAAAGTGGACTTAGCCTTTAAACATTGACTACTTGAGGATATGTAGAACCATATCACACACATGGTATTAAAGTTGTCCTAAACCAAGAGTCAAAAACCAGCATATTTTCTCCCTTGTGCTTTATCCCAATTTCTCGAGCGCTTTAGAAAATTGGCCCCAATTCTCCTAGGAAGCGGCCCGTCTTCCATACTCATATAAGTGAGTCTATCAAAGACCCAAAAAGGGCTATAGAACTCATTAAGAGATATTGATCTCATCCTCCATATTTTCATTACGAGATCACATGTACTTTACACCATAGGGATATACAATGAAAATAAAATTTCTACAATGATTTAAATTTCATTGTTACATGTTCCACAAACTAAGTCACTCTATGATTCGTTTGTCTCATTAACTTAGATCTTGGGATCTCCAGTCCCTAAGTTGAGTATCTTCATATGCAATTTAATTGGATTTGTATTTGAGTCCAATACCCCTCGATGTCTTTCAAATCTTTTCTTTAGCTAGAGTTTTTGTTAACGGATCAGCAAGATTGTTAGTTGATCTCACATAATCAACATTGAACGCACCATTATTTAGGCATGATCTCATAGTACTGTGCTTTTTTCTTACAAATTTTGATTTTCCATAATAGTACTTATTATGTGCGCTACCTATTGTGGCATTGTTGTCACAACAAATTAACACTAGGGGCACTAGTTTAACCCACAATTGTATATCAAATAATAAATCACGAAGCCAACCAGCTTCCTCACTAGCTGAAGCTAGCGCAATCAACTCAGCTTCCATTGTTGACTTGACAATAATTTTCTGCTTCTTTAATTTTCAACTTATAGCTTCACCACCTAAAGTAAAAACATAACCTGTAGTGGACATAGAATCATCCGATTGGGTGTTCCAATCTGCATCACAGTAATCTTCAAGGACAGTAGGATAATTTTTACTTTAGGTGGTGGAGCTATAAGTTAAAAATTAAACCAACATGTGTTTGTTTGTTATGAGTGAATCATATTCATCATTTATAATTTCTCTCCATAAGTCTGAATCAGGAGATGTTAGGGCTTCTTGCAAGTTGGTTGGATCTCTTTCAACATTATAAATAATGTAATCTAGACAAAAATCTTTTTTATATTCTACTACTTTTACTCCTCCTAGGTTCAAATTCTTTTTGTTCTAAATTATCAGTTAATGATGAATTAGGAATATCACTAGACTTTGGCATATTATAATCACCCCAACTATTTTTATATTTAAAAGGAAATATATCTTCATGAAATATAGAATCTAGTGATTCAATTACCATATTATTCTGTAGGTCTAAAAAACTGCATACTTTACTAGCTAGTGCATATACAATGAATACACATTGAATTACTCTAATTCCTAGTTTAGGAATTTTAGGATTAGTCATCCTAACATAAGCTAAATAGCCCTAAACTCTAATGTAATTCAAGTTAGGCTTTCTTTTTTCTCCACATTTCATAAGGAGTTACTGTATTTTGTTTCTGAGGAATTCTATTCATAACATAATTTCCAGTTGAAATTGTTTCTCCCCACAAATTTTTAGGTGCACTAGAACTAGCTAATATAGCATTTATTAGGTTGATCAACGTTCTATTTTTAAGTTCTACTACACCATTAGATTGAGGAGAGAGTGGTGGTGTAGTTTCATGAATTGTTCCTAAAGACTGTATATGTTTAATTAATTCAAGTGATTCATGCTCTCTACCTCTATCACTTCTAAATTGTTTAATTTTCTGTCAAAATGATTTTCGACGACTTTAATAAAAATGGTGAGTTTTTCAAAAGCATCACTTTTATTTTCATCAGATAAACACAAGTGCATTTTGAAAAGTCATTAGTGAAAGTTATAAAATATCTTTTACCTCTACGAGTCAAAATTCATTCAAATTCACATATGTCCGTATGTATCAATTCTAATAATTCAGACTTTCTTTCTACTTTGATATGAGGTTGTTTTGTTATTTTTGTTATGTTACAATATTCACATTTTTCAAAATCGTTGTGTAATTTAGGCAATAAACCTACATGGTTCATAATTTTCATATATTTGCTATTAACATGACAAATATGAGAATGTCACACATTCACACAAGAAATAATGTAAATGGAAGAAGTAATTTCATTCATTTTAACATTTACCTTAAACATACCATCACAAGCATAACCTTTGCTAACAAATGACCCATTCTTGGTCAACATAAACTAATTAGATTCTATGGTTTTGCTTGGAACCAGTCTTATTTAAAAGATAACTAGAAACCAAATTTTTTATGATTTCAAGAGTGAAGAATATCTCTTATGGTCAAAACTCGGCCAGAGTTAAATTTGAGTTGGACCTCTCCCATGTCCAAAACACTCACAGTATGTGAATTACTAAGCAACATTTTTTTATCATTTTCAACGGGAAAGTAAGACTTGAACCAAGATAATTACCAATCAATACTTTTTTATCATTTTCAATGGGAAAGTAAGACTTGAACCAAAATTTATCATGACAGACATATCTGGAAGCTCTAGAGTCTGACCATCATCCTTCACTATTTTCAATAAAATTAACCTCAGTAATCATTACCACAAGTGGTTCCTCAATCACACTAGTTTGAGGAGCATAGCCACGTTTTTTAAAACGACAATCTTTAACAATATGCTCAAGTTTTTCACACACAAAACAAATACCATTATTTGACTGATTATTTTTATTATATGGTAATTGTTTAGAAGGAGGTCCTTTGTTTGGTGCCTGGTTCCATTTTTTGAAAATGGTTTTTATTTGAAGTCCTATTGAATTTTTCATGTTGTTTCCTCTAGGCTTCAAATAGACACTGTTTCTTTTATTTTGACCCTTAGAGACATTACCATTGGATGTGATAAATTGTACCTTATTGCTGTTTCCATTACCATTGAAATTTTTGTTAGTGTCGTTGGTTTTCTCTCTCTAGCCTTCTCCTCAATTCAAAGTCGAGCCATCAGATTCACCATGCTTAATTCTGATTGTTTTTGACGAAAATCCTTTTGGTACTCCTTCCATGAAACCGACAGTTTGTCGATAACTTATGCAACTTGCATCTGTTCATCCACTTTAATTCCTTCGGACACAATTCCATTAACAACCATCTGTAGCTCATGTGTTTGAGCAATCACAAATTTGTTTTCCACCATTTGAAATTTAAATTAGCGGCGACAAGTGTATTTTTTCGTCCCTCCTTCTGTATCGTACTTTGTCTCTAAAGCTTTTCATATCTTCTTGGCAGAAGAATAGGAATTGGAATAGTAATCATATAGCTCATCGTAAAGACAATTGAGCAAATAATTGCCATAATTATCCTTGTCAATCTCTCATATTGCTAAATTCTTTTCATGCTCGACTGGATCTTCTACAGTCATACCTTAATTGTTCACCTTCTTTGGATTTTTTGTGGTGAGCATTCATACGACTTTCATCAATTTGAGATAAAACAGAACTTTTTTCGCTCATCTTTTAAAGAACTGTCCACTGAATCGAAATGGTTTATTAAGATCGTTTAATCCAACAGATAAAACAATAGAAGTGGTTATCGCAGAATTATCCATTGGATATGATTCACTTTAAATTATTGGAAAAACTGGAATGCGAATGATAAAGTGTACGGTAGGGTGAGGTGCAGACTATTCACTCTCTTAAGACGATTCGCGTCCCTTTATGAAAGAAACACAGCGCAGAAAGTAACAACGCGTCGTCCTTAAAATACAACAGTCTAGCCTATTGACTGTTTGCTTCACTCAGATTTGCACAATCGAATGAAGTAGAAGTTTCACACGACACCGTTCAATTTTGCCTAAACACTTATGCAATAGAGGAAAATATAGTAGATATTCAGATTGTATATTTTTATAATGAACTATGTAAATATATATACAAAAATATAGGTGTTTAATATTCTATAATTACTCCCATATCTAGATAATTACTATGAAAATTAACTAAAAAATAGCTGTTGAAAAACTAGTCGCTAGAACCTTTGATATTCAGAAACTGAATTTTTAATA